ATAACATAACATAACATAACATAACATAAAACAAAACATAAAATATAAAACATAAAACATAAAACATAAAACATAACATAACATAACATATAACATATAACATAACATAACATAACATAAAACAAAACATAAAATATAAAACATAAAACATAAAACATAAAACATAACATAACATAACATATAACATATAACATAACATAACATAACATAAAACATAACATAAATTTTTTACCGGGTGTTTTAACACAAACAAAGAAAATCCGAAATTAAAAAATAACAATAATAAAATGCATCTATATTGAAATGAATGTTCAGCTGTGCCATAACCATTTAATGTTAATAAGACAGAAGACATGCAACAATTTTGTTCATTAACTTGGTGCAAATTGAGGAACCCTCATTGACAGACTATTAAGATGCCTTGTTATGTGATATATTGTGCACCTCATATTGCTTTTATTATTTATCTGTTTAGATCTGACACAAAATGCAATCATTTTGCGCATGAGAAGCAGAATTCAATAATAAAGCCAAATTAAAACCGCGTCAAAACCACTAACATTTGAGAAATAATCCTCATTTCATTATGTCTGTGTTCATTTTTACATGGACAAACTGTCTCCAAATGGCAGATTACAATCAGTGAGATGCAAATGAGACTGGAAAATTTGAAGGCTAGGTCACCAGGGCAGATATGAAGAAAAGAAACCAAGCAATCAATCGAGAATATGCATTTATTTAAAATATTCAAAACACTTCAGAACTCCTTTTTTTTAATGTTATGTGATAAAAAATCCTAATCAATTAATCATGTTAAAATATCCAGTTTTCTAATTAACAAAATAAATAAAATAAAATAAAAATTGAATTTAATATTTTTAATAATTAAATAAAAACATTTAAAAAGAAAATAAATGATGCGGCGTTAAAGCAAAATCAATGATCACTGATGTCATAGATTTATTATATAAACATAGTATTTTGAAAATGTAAGAAATTTTGAAAACATTTATGCAAATGTTTATGCAACACTTTTTTTTATACTTTTTTTTCCTGAAAGGTTTTAGTTGTCATTTGAAATTTTAAAAAAAAAGTATTACTTGTTTCAGAATGTACAGAGAACTTTCAAAAGTAGCATTCCCATCATGTTTGCAAATTTCTCAAATTTAATGTTCCCTTAATGGTCACATAAGCACGAAAAATATTTTTAAAACACTGAAGCCAGTTTTATCGATTTAATATAAAAATATGATTCTGCCATTCTACTTTGACAATTAATCAGGTTTTATCCATTTAGAAATGAACATGCAGGAAAAGCGTTTGGATTTGAACTACAGCATTTCATGAACAAGTACGAATGAATCAAAATCACTTAGAAAGATGACAATTTCTGACACCATCTTCCACGCACCATTTTTTATGTGGACAAAGACAAATCATACAAAACAGTGGAATCGCTCACAGAACCATTAACTTCTCCAGCCCAAACTTGACTACCGCATCTTACAGGAGACAAATGATGCACCAATAATAAACAATCAATTTTCTCAACTTTGCGCACTATGTGCCCACATTGCAATGACAAGTCATATTGAAAATTACGGACTTCTATTCGCTTT